GTTCTTTAATCATATAAAGGTTTTATAAAAAAATATATGTTTGTCTAAAAAAACATATTAAATTGTAGACAGTCCAACTACCGATTTATCTCATCTTCATTTGTCTTGCTCATTCTTTCTTTAGATTTTTATATGTTGGAAAAATATAGATATAATATATAGGGATTTTTTTTCCTAATGTAAATTTATATGTTTTGGGGGTAAAAATTAGATCAATGGTTATATTAGGTTGTATAATGAGTATAAATAATAATGGCATTAGGTTGATAACTTGATGTGTAAGCATTTGGTATTTTATTTCTAATGTTAAACATTAAAAGCTTTTATTGGTAGTCAAACATTATCATTAAATTATAGTTCAAATCAAACTTTATTTTAATTAACTTTAAGTTAATGCAACAAGTAACTTAAAACATTTAATAACAAGTAACTTATACTCAGATTATTAAATATTTTTCAATTAAAACAAATGTAGAAATCATACTAACCAAATTTGTAGGATTTATTGATAAAAGAAGAGTTGAATAAAAATGGAAAGTTTAAATAAACACATTCTATTTTTTGGTAAAATTTTGTTGTACTCGTTTAAAACGAATGATGATCTTCTTTTTTTTTTTTTAAAAGATGGATTGAAGTTATTTTATGAATTTAAATAAACTACATAAAATATTGAATTAGTGTTATTTTGCAATATATATAACCTTAGTGTTAATGATTTGAGAGGACAACATATTATGTTTATTGTGCATATTTAGTTATTTAACTAATTTTTATAGTCAGTTTACCATTTAACTTTTATATCGTATTGAAGAGTAGAATTATGACCGACTAATGTAGGCTTAGTTTGTTTTCGGCAACCGTGACATCTCTTGTCATATTTTATGTCATCTTCTTAGGTCATTCTTAACCTGCAAAACTTTAAATATGGGTTCCAAAAATGGCGATGAACAGAATGTAGATTTGGGGTTCCTGTGTTTGTTTTTCTAGAAACGATTTTTGATTTTTCATTTTTGGTCATTTTCCTGGAAACAAGTTCTTGCTCTATACTTCTTGAGTTCTTGGGTTCGTTTTTCTCGAAAGAAGTTCTTGGTCTCTTTCTGATATTTGTTCTTAAATCTTGAGTTCCAAAACAATGATTTATCGTTTTTGAGATTTTGGCGGAAGAAGATGACCACATATAACAAAAACCGAACAACAAATGGATTCCACCCATGCTGATAATTTCAAACTTTCTTCATCTATCCTTCCTGGTTTAAAAGATTTCAATTGATAATGGTCACAAGCTTAAAGTGGTTTTCTATCATCTTTTTATAACACTTTTCTCCTCCTTTTATCGAAGTAAAAAGAGGAGACAGAAAGCTCCTCTCAGGCAGAGCTCCTCAGTTTGAGAATCAAAACTTTGAAAGTCCTTCATCGATATAATAAAATAATTAATCAATAAATTGTAAGCACAAACAATATGTAACACCAATAAAAATCACATGAAAGCATAACAATAATTTAATCAAACACTTAATGCTTTAAAAACATGCAAATGAATATAAAATATTAAATACGCCAATTGAAAGAACATGATACCAAGTGAAATTATATAAAGTTGAGAGTATACCAATTAGTAGAACAATATTAATTATATTGAAATTGTTAGTTAACGACATTAATATGCATAAAAAGGGGGAGATAGAGAAGAGGAGATTTAGAAGACTCAATCCACTCCATGGACAGTGCACACATGACACACATAAAGCACAATTCAATCTCTAAACAACAAGAACACAATTAGGATAAACTAATTTGTTAATTTGTCACACGATGATTGAATTAATTAGAAACTAGTACTTAAAAGAGGGGTTAACATGTAACCGTTTGGATTAGGCAGTTATGATAATTATTTAGTAATCTAAACAATTATTATAATAAGAATAATGGATTGTTTGATAGTTGTTGATTGAGTCAGATCTGATTGAATCAAAGTCTGATCGAGTCAGATCTAGTAAGAAGCATATTAGGAGCTATAGGACCGAGTCAGACCCAACTAATTGTACTATCTAACGGTTTGAATCTGATCGAGTCCGACCCAATCTTTACAAGACCCAATAAGAAGCATATCAAACATCTCTTAAAATGGTTCTCTCTCTCTCTCTCTCTCTCTCTCTCTCTTATATATATATATATATATATATATATATATATGATTGTTCATTTGAGATTCTATAAAAATAGAGATCTTGTGTAACGCTCTATTCCTAATCGTTTCCTAATGTGGGGCGGTAACCCGAAGATCGGGTGTCATAAGGCTTAGGGCCTTTGGAAAAGAGGGATTTAGACCCATTAGGGTGTGGGTAATATAAGTTAGATGATCCGAGAGTCTGGTTGGTGATCTGGAGCCCAAGGGTATACCCGTAAAGTGGCAGTTTGGGCCTTTATAGAAATTAGAATTTTGTTCGGGAAGTATTAAGGCAAGGATGAGTTGATAGAAGTGTAGAGCTTCTTGTTACCTTTCTGTGGATATAAGGATCGTCGAAGACGGACTCAGAACGAAGAAGTTATGACCTCTAGAAGTTGGTGAGTTAAAAGGCTAAGCCTTGTACGCAGGGCGTACAAGGGAGTACGTTGGGTGCACGAGGCAGAAAAGATCGCGAACCTTCATGGAGTACGTTGGGCATACTCCAGCCAGATGAAAACCCTAATTGTTTGGGTTTGCACCCTATTTAAGCATTTTAAACTCACATCCTGGACATTTTTGACCAGCCTCCATATCTTCTAAACCCTAATTTCACCCCTAGCCATTGTTTTGGTGCTTTTGAGCTCTTGTGAAGAATTTTGGTGTGTTCTTGTGCATTTTGAAGTGGTAGAAGAAGATTGAAGACTCATTCCTTGGAGTGGAGCTTAGAGATCCAGAATTCGCATCATAATTTCGTGTCATTTGAGGTATATAGTTCTTAGCTTGACAACTCCTTGTGTAGATCTAGTTTGGGTTTGTTTATGGCATATTTTGGTTCCTTTTGGTTGGTCCTTGTGAGTAAAGGTTGTTTCAGAAGCTTAGCCCTTAGATCTGGACGTTTTTAGGGGTCCCTTATGCATAAAAATGCAAACTTTATGGTGTATCTTGACCCATTCATGTATTAAGACCTTTGTTAAGCTCTTTTTGAGCTCTTGAGCCCCATTAAGCCATGCATGCATGTAAAGTTGCCAACTTTACATTTTAGGTGGCCTTAAAGGACCAGATCTGAGATTTTGGCACTTTGTCTTAGCCGATTAAGTGCTTATTGGAGTAAAAAGGTGGTCTGGGGGGTACGCTGGGCGTACCCGGCTGGTATGTTGCGCGTATTGACCCCGAACGAAGTATGCTTAGTGTACGAGTTGAGTACGTCCTGAGTACTCAGCAGATGGAAGTTTGGGCTTGATATTCTCGGTTTGAGCCATTGGTTGGGTCTTCTTAGTTTGGGCCTTGATGGGCTTCTGGTTTGTATTTTGGGCTCCTTTGGATTTAGGCCTATGATGGGTCTGGGCCCAATTTGGAAGATTGGGCCATATTGGGCTTTGGAATATCATTTAGGATTTGGGCCTTGAAGTAGTTGAGTTGGGCCTTGACTTTGGGCCAATTCAGATGAAGGGTAGAATGGTCTTTTACCCTGGTTATGGGCTAAGTAGCTTAGACTCTTGGTTATGGGTCCGAACCCAATTACTGTTTGGATGTCATTTGATGTTGATAGCACGGGGATTTTTCCGGACCAACAGTTAGAGATTTATTCGAGTGTTTCAGTAGCTAGAAGTGAGTCTCCTCACTATTCTCGTGGGTCGAAGGCCCCAATGCCGGCCCACTAGGTTCTGATATGTTAGATGTCTTTGTGACTCTTGCATGTTATGTTGGGCTAAGCCTATTTGTATGTTGTGCTAGGCCCATTGTATGACGGGCTAGGCCCATTTGTATGTTAGGCTAGGCCCAAGGATCAGGAAGGGCTAGGCCTATTGTATGTTATGTAGGTGTTGACTGTCTTTGTGAATTTTACATTTATATGATTGGGCTGGGCCCTTTGATCTGGCAGGGCTAGGCCCATTATGGTGGGCTAGGCCCACGGTGCGGGTTGGGCCCAATGTGAGGGCTAGGCCCAATGGTATGTATGGTATGTGGTATTTTGGGGAACTCACTAAGCTTTGTGCTTACGATTTTTATGGTTGTGGTTTCAGGTACTTCTGGTTCAAAAGGGAAGGGCTCAGCTTGATCGCAACGTATCCACCCATGTTCCACATTATGATGATTTTTGGATTGTATTCTGATAACTGTTTTCTTATAAAGTACTTTTGAATATTTAGAAAATGGATAATGAATGTTTGACTTAAAGATAATTAATGTTTTGGTTGAATTAAAAATTAATTTTTACCTCATAATTTTTGGGACGTTACATCTTGATTGAGATTCATTCTCAACCATATATTTCTCATTTGCTACTCTAACGCTCCAGCGTACCGGGAATAGTGGGCTATGCTTAATCATAAATGATTATATGGCAGAGAGGTATAATCATATATGATTATAAAAGTTTATACAAATATGCCTAATCATAAATGATTATACATATATATTTGTTCACAGATTGAGTAATCATATATGATTATGATGGTTGGTGGCAAAGGTTGCGTGGTATAGGTGACATAGGTAGCATGGAGGGGTCGATTGGTGGTAGAGGTGGTGGCGGTGGAGGTTGTGGTGTTAGAGAAGGTGGTGGAGAAAAAAAGAAACGGGCGACGCTGAATAATCATTTATGATTATAACTCTCCCGTCGCGCCAGTACGCCGGAGCGCTAGAGTGGCAAATGAGATATATGTGGTTAAGGTTTAA